CCAGATTGAGGCCGCGTAGTCCTCTGTCATAACCGCCGCATTTGGCGATGGCCCATAGCGGATATCGACGAGCCGTCTGCCTTATCCTGTGGCGGCAGTTGAATTGATTGTCATCAGTTTATGGTGACCAGAAGTTCGATAGACGGAGAGAACACCTTGAGAAGTGTTTTAGTACTCTGAATGAGAAGCATGAGAAGGCAACTCGAGTGGGAAGGCGAATTATTATCCCGTTCACTATTCGGGAAGCTACTGCAGATGCTTAGGAAATTATGCGTGTGCCCTTTTAAAGAGGGCCTCTTTCAAGGTTCATGGATCTACGAATACTGCAGGAGTAATGGGAGTAATTCAGGGCAATATGACGTTGATTAAAGAAATCAACAATCGGAGAGAAGTGTCACTCTTGAAGGACGAGCGAGCTGCAGAGGAGCGACTGAGTTTGTCTGAAATCTCAGAGATGCCTGGATCAACAATTGAGCACAAATCTACTGAGAAGAGCCAGGAGGCTGACGTGGAGCGCAAGGCCCACAATATATTGTCTAATATCGAACCCTTTTATGGCATCATTACTGTAGCTTCACGTTTCGATGATGAGTCATAGATTTTTACTGACTGAGGTCGATGATTGCTTCGGCCCGAACGGGACGACTCTCGTATCAAACCCACCCACGAGGTCGTATGCTTTGTGAAATCAAGCGAACATCTTATCCCACTCCTCAACTCTACATTTGATTGCCTGGACGGGGAGACCGATGTTGCGAGGAGAAGAACACGATCGTAGAATAAAAGAATAGTCACTTGCCATAATGGCCAGTGGCAAAAAGAAGTCCGAGATAGTGTTACACGATGAAGGATAGCGTGCGAACAATTAACGTCAATCGGGCAAACAGAGCACGTTAATCGGTATGTTGCTCGCATATCCAATACCCGTTTCCTATCGAAAAAATTCTCTCGAGTGCCTAACGCAAATCAAAGTATACTGTTGGTATTCTATCTTCTATCCGACCCAACTACACGTGAAGTAGAGAGGCACCAGTGAAGTGATGTGTGAAAAAACCACAAAGAGTAGTAGTCCCGTCCTTGGTCGGGTATATCTTCTAGATACACCTGCCAGGCGTGAGCTGCCTTTGGATTCCTCCAATAG